TCGTGACCACCTGGTAACGAAGCTATGAAGGAGAGAGAAAGCCATAAATTCCTCAGATGTATGTACACAGGCAGAGCAGAGTAAGCTAATGCAGAGTCCTAGTGTACATGTCATGAGGTGTCCCTTGGATTCCTTCCACTCCCCTGACTTGCTCTGTTGGGGGCTGTCCATCTAACCTTGCTGGACTTGGGCCTAGGAGCTTTGTTTGCAAGGCTATAGAATCACCTGGTGGTTTGAGACCGCCCTTCCCATTCATCTGGATAAGTCAAGCATAATAAATCTGCAGTTAACCTCCGCAGCCTCTGCCTGTCACTCCTCATTACGTACCAAGGAAAGGTGATCATTGCTAGTGCAAAGCAGAATGGAGTAGTTTGCACGTCCCATCCGCCAGTCACTCCCAGTCTATGCTGCTGGAGAGACCTCCCCCAACCCAACAAAATGTGCTCAACAACTCCCTTCCTTCCTTCCTTCCTTCCTTCCTTCCTTCCTTCCTTCCTTCCTTCCTTCCTTCCTTCCTTTCTTTTTTCCTTCCTCCTTCCCTCCCTCCCTCCCTCTCTTTCTAGAAAAAAACCTCTAGCGCACAGATGAAGTTAATGACATTCCTTAGTTCATGACCCAATCTCATCTTTGTACCATGCACACTCTACCTCTATTTATTCAAAAAAATACAATAAACATCGTCCAGCCCACCCCCCCCCCCAAACAGAAGTCAGAACCTTGACCATAACCAACATATCTTCCAGCTCCCAAGCGACTGTAAACAGGAAGAGCAGCGGCCGGTCAGCCTGCACAGCGAGGCAGAAGCAGCTAGTCCTTTCAAAAGGTTCCCTGGCGTCCGAAGGCGGCGTCTTTTCGAAATGCCTCCACGTTCACGCGGCCCAAGTGTCCCATTAAATCCCCGCTCCTTTAAAATCTGGGTTCCCGATTGGTGTATCATTTTCTTTTAATGATCTGTGCTTCCTATAGAAACATGGAAAACGACTACTTCTTTTTCTCAATTAAACATGTAGCGGCCGGCAGATGAAAGGCACCTTGTCGGTCCGCCCGCCCCGGGGAGCGGCAGGCAAGGGGTTAAGGCGGGCGCGGCGGACCCGGGAGGAACCCTCTCGGGAACCCGAGCGCGGCCCGGCCCGCCGCGCGCATGCGCCCAGCAGCCCGCGCGCCGCCGCTCCCCGCTCCCGCTCCCCGCTCGCGCTCCCGCTCCCCGCTCCCCGCTCCCCGCTCCCCGCTCCCCGCTCCCCGCTCCCGCTGCACAAAGGCCTGCTTTGTTCCCCCGGCTCTGTTTTAAATATCTGACGACTGTTCCCCCCCATCCCTGCGCCAGTTCCCCGGGCCTGGCTGCAGGCGCGGCACAAGGGCGCATTGTGGGGCCGAGCGAGGGCCGAGGGGGGCTGGGGGCGCCGGCCCGCTGGGGACGCTCGTGTTTCGGCGAGTTGACTCAGCCGTTTCGGTCACCGGGACTGCGCGTCTAGGGGGGCGGGGGCGGGGGGCTCGTCCCCACAGTAAGAGTCTGAAAATGGGGAGTGGACAGAAGCGTTTCCAAAGCCCGCCTGGAAGGGGGTGCAGAGGCCGCCAGCGGGGCGCGAACCCGGGGAGTCAGCGCTTGGGTTCAGTCCGAAACTGTGCACTGACAAAGTGCGGGTCACTCGGTCCCTTGGAAGAGTGTGGCATGGGCACTGCGGCGCATCCCTACCCTAACGGGGGGAGGGGGAGGGGGTGGGGGCGGTGGAACCCTTCCTCCCCGCAAGCTCGCGGCCCCAAGGGGCGCTGCCCAAAGGACATCACCCCGGGCTTTGCGGGCCTCTCGCTGCCGGCTTGTAGGAACGCGCCCTCAGGGAAATCACACCTTCGCGGGCTCGGCCCCTCCCTGTGGAGGGTAGGTGGGTGAGGACTGGGATGAGAGTCGAACAAAAGTAGGCTTTCAGCTCGCTGGAGAGCGGCCCCGCCGCCGCGCCCTCCCTCCCCTGGCCCTGCTGCCGTCCCCTGCGGACTAGCGCGTAGCTTTCCTTCCCTGCGCAGGTGTGCGACGGACACATCACAAAGCCCCTCCTCTCGGTCCCATTTTCTCCTTTAAGAGTAGGGGAACACTGCCTCTCAGACTAGGTCTTGGAAACCAAGCAAAACACGGAATGTGGGCCTTAGCAACTCGGGGAAAGTGTGTTTGGTCTTCAGTTTCATCAAAAGGAATTTTTTTCTTTCTTTCTTTCTTTCTTTTCTTTTCTTTTTTTTTTTTTACTTTCACTTGTGACCAAAGCCCCCATACCTCTTAGAATCTTGAAGGGAAATTGTGACCCTCCCACCCAGGGCAGGTGAAAGAGGAAGAACTGGCTTGGGAGGATTTGATTCAGAAGTAAAGGATTTGGTAGTTTTGTTGTGGTTGTTCTAGGCCGGACTGAGAGCCCCTAAATCCTCCCTCATGATTTGTTATGAATCTGAAGGTTGACTTACATTGCCTTGGTCACATTTTTAGTCGTGAAGACCATAAATATTTTCAGAGATGTATTTTTTTTTAAGTCACATTTTGACGCACATGTCACATGTTGTCTCAACTCACCAATGCTGTAAGCATTGGAGCTGAGAGCTCATACAGACCAACCTTCTTATTTTGCAAATGAGGAAGCCTGTCCACAACCACTCAGAAAGACAGGGCTGAGGTGGGCCTGGAGACCAGGTCTCCCATGTCCACAGTTGGATTCTTTCTCTTCTGATGTGCTATTTAGGCGTGGAATAAAGACCAGGTTTCACCTACAGCTTCCTCACAAATCCGTCCCACGTAGAGGATTCTGAGCCAAGAGCCTAAAGCTTTGAGGAAAGGTTCTTGGTATTCACACAGCCCTGTGGAGAGATGAAGAGCCTCTGCTCAGTATATCCCTCAGATACACACTAGCTACAAGCTTAGAGACCCAGTCACGATTGGCTGCCAGGGTTGCTGAGTGGCAGAGAAATCCTGGCTGTCTGTTTCCAGGCACTCTTTGGTCTTCTTAGGAATTTCTTCAAGCAGCATTAAGTGTCCTTTCACCACTCTGTTGGCCAGTGAGCCCCCTATCTCTGGAGATGATAACGGCCCCCCAGGCCCCCTGCCTGCAGATCAACCTGCAGCTGAGTTGTTTGGGAAAGTGTTCCCTAGAACTGACTTCTCTCTGTGATGAGTGTGCAGAATACAAAAATAAGGTGGTGGTCCCTACAACCCCTCTTCCCTCACACACACCCCTGCAGACTCGGAGATGTTAGAAGGGATACTGGAGCATTTCTGTGATACAATACAGCCTGCTTGGAGAAAAGCCATCAGCAACAGTGCCATTGCATGGCAGTGCCCCTGTGTCTGGGGAGGTTGTGGCAGGATTTATATCCCAGTGAGCTTCAGAGGGTGGGATCACTGTAGATGACCTCTAGCTTGTACCTTTCACTTTGGCCCACCCTCCTTTACCATATATCCCGCCTTGACCTACAGCACCACCACCACTGCGTGCGACCCCTTCCTTGCACCAGCCATCCACTGATTTGAAGCTCTCCAGGGTTGGCAGATGAACTCACATTTCAAGCCATCGCATGGGAATGCTGCCTGGTGGCCAAGTGTTTGGTTTCAGCAGCATCACCTTTTGACTGTTCAGCAGTGTTTGTGCAAGTATTTGCATATGTTATTGCATTTGGACCTTGTTATTTTATAAGAATGAGTGGAAAATGGGAAAATAAAGTGCTGATGCTGGTGATAAGAAGGGCAGGCCTCATAAACTTAACGTGATTGAGACAAAGATGGAAATCATTAGGTCCGCCGAAAGTTGGAGAATACATGGCCTCAGTCAGATGCTCCCTGGATTTAAGCCAGTCGCCTGTGCGTTCGATTGTGAAGGAGAAGAATACGTTAGAGAGCGTATATGATATTCTGGACCTAACATGGTCGAAGATTGTATCTAAAGGTGAGATGTGATTGGGGACTTTACCACATTCCTTCAGTTCTACAGCTGTATTGACTTAATGACAGTTTTCAGGGCAGGGGTGAGGGCAATGTTGTGAGTTGGGAAATCAAGAAATCAAGACAAGACAAGAAATCAAGAAAATACAGTGATAATATTGTTCAGCCCCCGGGAAGGGAACCCTGCCTTATAGCTTTCAAGTGCACTCTTTGCCTCTTACACATGAGACCAGCGAATTTTCAGGAAAGCATTAGGTTTGAAAGGAAAGAGTGTCCCATAGACACATTCTCTGTGGGGGTCACTCCAGCACCAAAGCCTGGGATAAGGCCTTTAATCAATGTGCCAAAAGGGACGGAACCGAACTCAGCTGAGGCCCTTGTGCCAGGGAGTTTTCACAGCTCGCCTGTACCCAGCTGACAGAAGACCATGAGCGTCAAAGCAAAGAATGTGGGGCTGGTCTTTTCTTCTTGGGCACCCGCTCCCTTCAGAGCCATTGTACCAGCTGTCTCTAGGAGTGGGGAGGGGGCATGCTTCCCTCTCGGCCTTTGCACAGTCTGTGCCCTCTGCCTGGATTAGCTGTCCTTCCTCTCAGACTGCCTGGCCAACTTCTGGCTCATTCTGGAAGACTCAGCTCTAGTTTCTGCATCCCCAGGCCCACGCTTCTGCACTGCCACTGTGCACTCTCTGCCCACCCTCCACCTGTGCTCTTTCCACACCATGTAACCACAGCTGGCTTGCCTGCAAGAGCTTTGAGGGCAAGGAGACTTCTTGTGCGTCTCTCACATCCTCAGCACGCATGCCCGGGGCCCTCAGTAGGTGTCTGCCAAATGACCGAGGGACACAGGGAGCGCGAGGCCCTCAGGAAGGAACTGTGTAGGACGAGATGGTCTATCAAAGCTCACCGGGGTGACCTGGCACTGGCATTTTAAACTTCTTAGACACTGAAAAACCCTTTCTTTATGCTCCAGAAGCCAAACCATTTGTCTCTGGATTCCTCTTGGTCTGCTCCCAAGGTGCCCTCATCTGGAGGCCTTCCTGCCCACACTAGCGTCTGCAGTTCCAGGCCTGCAGCGCCACCCTGCTTACCTCCTGGACGGTTCTCGACGCATGCTTTTGCTAAGTAAATCCACTGACTTCTCCTTCAACCATGGGATTCTTGCTGAATTCTTACCACTTTCCTCAGGCAAAAACAACCCAGAAGTGCTGTCTGATCCAAAGCATTTCCCAGGGAGGGCAGCCAAGTGAGTGCAAGAACCTCTCGGCCGTCTGGGACTGTGATGTGATGTCTGAACAGCCTCTTTAGAAACACTCCAGCCTTTTCCAAGGATGCCATCCGGGTGGGGACACTCCATGTCAGGCCCTCTCTGTTGTCTGGGGGTCCTGGGGACAGATGTGGGAGCACTCGATCCGGGGATTTAACCTGGTTGGGCCTCAGCAGGCATCACTGGGTCAGCTCTGAACGAGAAGGGGTCCCAGCTCAGGTTTGTGCCCTTCCACCCACTGGCTTTTTCTTGACAAAACACACCCTGCCCTGCTGCCCTTGACTATGACAATGGTCTGAGCAGCCTGAGGAGGATCAGCTCAAAGAAGCCCACCACCACTGGCCAGCCTCCCACCCCACCCAGCTCGATGCCCCGCTGGCCCCTTCCTGAGGGCGCCGCCACCATCACTGGCTGGCTGAACTGCTCTCAGCACTAGTGAGTTCCACTTACTCTCCAGGTCCTCTGGAGCTTGAGCTCTCTGGGGTGGTGCCCAGAGTCCACTTGATAGAAAGCTGATTCTTTTCCTGTGGGGCAAACAGCTCTGATCAGAACATGTCTGTCAGGGGATGACTTGGCAGGGCCACAATGCCAGGCTCGGATGCCTCTTTTCTGTGTGATTTCCCAAAATTCAGGCAGGAAAACATGCCTTCCCCCAGAGCAGCCGGCTGCCCCACCAGCATTTGCATCCCCCAAAGATATATAAAAGGAGCCAGTGGCCGGCCCCCAGTGAGGACAAGGCTGTGATTCAAGGACGCTCCAGTGACATCCCCAGCGTGAGAGTGCAGCTGGGGCGGTTTATGAACAGTGCTGAGTCCCAGGGGGAAGTCGGTCCTGTCCTCTAACCCACAAACGTCTATTGTTCGCTTTCTTGTTTTGCTCCAAATGTTTAGTTGTGCTCGGAGCACAGAAAAGCCCTAAAACCAGGCCATCGGCCAGGGCCAGCCTGAAGCAGGGAAGCCTATGGCTGGAACTCTGTGGGACCCCTGCTGCCCTCTGTTGTTCCCACCTCTCCCTAAGATGTGACCGTGCTGGGGGTAGGGGGTGACGGGGTGACCTCTTCCTGGCCAGGGCTATTTGGACAACAGTGGGCTTGGGTCCCCCCACCCCACCCCCAAGCAAAGTGTGACCACCCAGGCTCACTGGCTTGGCAACCAGACACCACGGCCCATGCTGGTTACCTTGGGGCTGTCCAAGATCTGAGCAGGAGTCTCTCTCCTAAATGCTTGTCACTGACCAAGGTTGATGGGGTCTGATGGGAATAATTGTGTGCTGGGCCCCTGGCTGCATCAAGAACTTGGGGCCTGAGGTCCAGCCTCTCGGGGTTTGACTCCTGGCTCCAGCTCTTAATAGCTGTGCAACCTTGGGCAAGTGACTCAGCCTCTCTGAGCCTCCTTCTTGGCAGAATGACACCCGCCTTGTAGAGCCATTGTGATTTTAACAAGGTAATCGAGATAGGCAGTGGCATAAAATGAGCCCTCAGTAAATATTGGTTATTTTTTTGTATTATTCTTATTGATCCACTGGTGACTCTATCACACCATCCTGAAGCCACCCTCTCTGCTTTGAGCACCCACTTTTGCACCTAATCCGATACCTTTGACAGTCTCCAGTTGTGGGTCTGAGAACAGCTGTGCAAGACAGGCAGTGCCAGAGGAATGAAGGATGAAGTGCCTTGTGACATAGGGGAGGAGAGAACGTGCTCAAAAGCCCGTAGCCTCCACCTCCCCCTCCCCTCAGCCCCAGATCCCTTTCTCTGGGGCTCATATTACCTGCCCTCCCCCACAGCTGGTGATTCTCTGCCCCACCATGTGGCCCAGGGCAACCCCAAGGCCTGCCCAGAGAGACCCTCTCCCCCTCTGTACCCACCCTGACATCCGCCAATGGCCGGTGGGGGTGGCTGGGGGCTAGGGGGACAGAAGTAGAATCTCTGGAAATTCTGCTAGACAAGGCGGTGAGGGATCCAGATCCCAAAAGTTCTAAATGTGGTTTAGAAAGGCTGTGTTGTAAAGGGGTGGGACAGAGCGCAGAGGGGCAGAGCACCCAGGAAAGGCAAGAAAGGGACCTGAGTTCCAGTCCTCCTCCCCCAGACAGTCCACATCCCTGTTTGGAGCTTTGGGACTTCTCCCTTCTCAAAAAAACAGCACCGAGATGACCACCCCCACCTTGGATTCATTAATCCTTTCAAGAATAAGGTCTTGGGAGCCTCCAGACAGGGCCATATGGTTTCCTTATCTTCCTAATCTCCCAGCACTCACCTTCCATTTGGAATGTTTATCCCAAGATAACGATCAGATTCCACTTAGGGTGATTGAATGGGGGCCTCCTCCAAGTGAGTATTTTCCCCCACTCCCCTTTGCAAATGAACGGAGAACCCAAACCAATAATAAATGAGCCAGACCAGGTTCTGAGAATGGATAGGGCTCCTCCCACACTCTCAGCCCCCTCCCTGCAACCCCAACCTCCTCTCCCGACAAATATCCCTCTCTTCCACCTGGGCAGCTCCACTGTTAGGTGCTTTGCAGAGTGGAGTTCTGTGTCCGGTTGCTGTTGAACAAAGCATAACTGCCATAAGCAGTGTTCTAAAAAGCAAAGATCTGATACAAGAGCAACGCTTTTCGATACCAAAGTAATGCAGGCCACAAAGACAAGTCCATCTGCAATTTTATATTTTGTAATAGCCACATTGAAAAGATAAAAATGGGGGTGCCTAGCTGCTCAATCAGTGGAGCATACGACTCTTGATCTTGGGGTTGTAAGTTTGAGTCCCACGTCAGGTCTAGAGATGATTTAAAAATAAAATCCTTAAAAAAATGGTAAAAATGAACAGGTGAAATTAATTTTAACAGTACATTTCATTCATGAGTATTATTAATTAGACAATATTTATTTACTATAATGATATTTTTTATTTAGCCTCAAAATATCATTTCAACATGTAATCAACATAAAAATTATTTGTGAGGTATTTCGTGTTTGCTTTTTTGTACTTAATCTTCAAAATCTGGTAGGTGTTTTACAGCTTGCAACATGCATGCATTCAGACTAGCCACATCCCAGTTGTGCGTAGCCTGCTGAGGCTGGTGGCTGAGGTATTGCTTGGGGAGGATCCAGCTAGATCATGCTAAGAAACCTGGGGCCGGGATGAATGTTATGGGCAGCATGACTACCACTAGCGAGTTGGCTGCCCTAGAGCCTCCGTGAAAAGATGAGCAATCCATAACTTTGTTCCCAGTCTAAACAGAGAGCCAGATTTCATCTCCTACCCCTCCCAGCCTTTCCCCTCCCAGGAAGGAAAACACACATAGATGACAATTTTGTTAAAAACTTCTAGCAGGGACGCCTGGGTAGCTTAGTGGTTGAGCATCTGCCTTTGGCTCAGGGAGGGATCCCAGGGTCCTGGGATCGAGTCCCACATTGGGCTCCCCATGGGGACCCTGCTTCTCCCTCTGTCTGTCTCTGCCCACCCCCTCTGTGTCTCTCATGAATAAATAATAAAATCTTTTTTAAAAAATAAAATTTTAAAAACTGCTAGCAATTGTGTTAGTCATTTCACTTGCTAATAAAATTGTTCCTTGAAGCTTTTCCCATAGGCTGTTTACAGCTGAAGGTGGTACCCGATGAGCATCGAGCAGCCGTGTTGTGGGCTCTCTGAAGAGGGGAAGGCCTAGCTGCAGTAGACAGAGCCAGATTCGGGCCATCGATGCCAGTGATGCTCCCTGATTCCAGGAAAGGGGAGGAACCGCTCGGACAGTGATGGGATACTCGGACAGATCTCCTGCTAGTCATTCAGACACCAGATTTACATGACTGTGCGTTCTGGACGGGGCAATGGAAGAGGACTGGGTCTGTGTTAGTGATTTGTGTGTGTGTGCTTGGTTCCTTCTCCCCATGGTGAGTCTTCCGTGAGTCAGTGATGCGGCAGGTCTCCTGCTGCAGCAGTTATGCCCGGTGCCTCCCCTACTCTCAAGATCAAGATAAACAAGTTCCAAACAAAGAGAAGGATGGGAGGGGAGGCGTCTGGCCAAGCAGGAGGATATTAGGCCAGTCCTCAGCCCCAAATGGAAGAAAGGTGGGGAGCAGGATCCAGGTTTCCTGGGGAAGGCCTTCCCAACCACCCTGGGCCAAAACAACTCTCTGGCCCTCTCTGCTCTTGTTTCCTTCCTAGTGCTTACAGTTCCTGACAGGCCATTCGATTTTTCTCTGCCGACTGCTGTCCTCAGTTTTGTTTCTTGCTTCACTCCAGTGCCTAGAAGAGTGCCTGTCACTCTTAATAAACATTTGCTGACTGAATACAGTGCTGGAGCTTGTGCCAGAAACACGGCACAGGGCTCCAAAGAGCCATGAGCTCAGGAATGGCAAGAAGATGAAAAGGAGCCTGTAGGAAAGGCAGAGAGAGGCATGGGAGTGGAGGCGCACCCAGAGGGGTGGGGTGCAGGGCGAAGGAACGAAGAGGCAGAGAGAGGTGGTGGTCTGTGTGTGCAATTCACCCAGTAATGGGAGACAGAGAAAACTTTGGAAAAGTGGAGGAATGTGATTGCAGCACAAAGGCAGGGAGATTATTTTGTCAGCAACATTTGGATCCCATTGGTGATGAGAGACATGTGGGCCCGGCAAGGAGACAATTGTGGTAGTCAAGACAGGATGTGAATAAGACATAAAGAAGTGTTTCATCAGTGGGGATGGAAAAGGACCAGGGCTGCGGTAGCCAAGTCAAGGAGTAGGAAGGGTCGGCCCCAGCATTCCCATGCGCGGCCTCACATGCACCGCCGGTATGCTCCCCACACGTGTGCACACTCACACGCATGCACACACACACAGGCCACCCCCGGGGAGTGTTCGTTCCGAGGCCCCCCTCCCACATTCTGACTAACTGCAAACCCCACTTTCTGCTTCAGTCTCTGGTCTTCTGTTTGCTTCTTCCCCTGGCCGCCAAGGCGGCGGCCCCGTGGGCAAGGAGGGACGGAGGAGCTCTGGATGAGGCAGGATTTTCTCCATTCATGAGGTTTGCTTGTGGCTACCTGAGGAGGGAAGAGGGCTTGAAGAGGGTCACAAGATCCCGAGGACAGAGAGGAGAGAAAGGCCCCAGCAAAAGAAGACCCAGAAGAGGAGAGAAATCCTCCTCTGAGCGTGGACAGGGATGGCAAGCGCTCACTGACGTCTCCCACACATTCACACATGTGTAGGCCACGTGAAAGGTCTGGGATTGACATGGGGACCCAGAGGAGGTGACCGGCTTCTCGTTAGGAGAGGGTGGGGACGTGCTCGGGGATCCAGCTGAAATAAGACTTTATTTTTAAAGAGCCTTAGATTGATGTCTCTGCTAGCCTAAATATAACTGAACAGACAACTCCTTCCCCGGGCTGGGCCTCCAGGCGAGCTCCAAGACCCTGTGTTTGAAAAAAAAGAAAGAAAGAAAGAAAGAAGAAAGAAAGAAAGAAAGAAAGAAAGAAAGAAAGAAAGAAAGAGGATTCCACAGATGCAAAAGTTCACACAGCTAGCCCCATGAGTGTGTTGGGAGGAGGGAGATGGATGAGCTGGCCATGGACACTCTGCAATCCCCTGGCCTTACCCTCAAGGAAGAACTACGGAGGCTTGTTGGAGGAGAGGGAGGGGGCCCCAGTGGTAATAATGGGGGACCCAGGCTTGTGTTCAGGGAGCTGACAGTCCAGCGGGAGGGGGCACACACACCTCTAGGGCAGCACAGTGACAGAGGGCCCTGGGTGACATGCAGGTGGAGGATGGTGGGTGT